CCACAAATTAATGTCGTGTTGTGCTGGGGAAAAAAAAAAGTCGCTACCAGCCATAAATAGCACCATGACAACGCGATGTACGCACAGTTTAAATATCACTCTATGGTGCAGCAGACCAAACACCAAATTGGAGCATACTTTCAAAACACGGAATAAAAAAGTAATTTTTAAAACATAATTCCGGAGAAAAAGAAAAAAAATAACACCAACAGAAGTATCCAATCGAATGTCCCACCAGAATCACAGGATCATTCAGACGCAAGGGGAAAAAAAGAAACGAAACAATAAAACCAATAAGTATTATATTATTGTAAATGTTGAAAACGACCGGCACCTTCCCCGAACGATCACTGAATCATTAATCGACAACCTGCCCAACGGGTGGGGAAAAAAGGTCGCTACTGTATAAAATGCTATAGACACAGCACCGGTGCGAAACGAAGCTAGATCTAGATATCTTTTGACCGCGGTACGTACACCTACGCGCACACACTCCACACAATAGGCTCAAATCAGAAGCGATTTGTTCGACAGTGGCGCGGAATAATCCGCCGGGTTACTTGACAGATTACGTCTGCTGCAGGTTATAATGCCAGGCGCCATTGCCAAATAAGCTGTTGGCCGAAGCTGACAACAACGTTCTCGGACAAGGCATGTCTTCAGGTGGTTGGGTTTCCCCCATCCCCCACCCCACATACACACACAACCCACTTACCTCTAGCCCATGTGCCTAATCCAATCAAAATGACGACATCTGAATAAAGTAAAATGTGCACATGATGTGTTAGCTGTAGTCAATACAACATTAAGGCAAGCCTAAGCTTAATTTTGTAAATGGTAAACTGTATACATTATTGTTAGTTTTTATAATAAGCCTCCGTCTCTCTTTCTACGAGAAATTTGGGAGGGTTGTATATGGCCTACACACGTGAGTTACTGTAGTTTGTTATACTGTCATATGCAGATGTTTTCCGTAAGGTCATCTTATGAATTTTAATACTGATACATAGGTAGTGTGGAGATCAATATTGTTTTTAAAAAATGGTCATCCTTGACCTATTGCAGAATATGGAAACGATGTATAAAATGAAAATAAATGCCAGGGCGTGGTTCTAAATTCTTTTTAACTCTCTCTCTCTCTCTCTCTCTCTCTCTCTCGCCTACTCGCTCGCTCTCTCTCTCTCTCACTCACTCTCTCTCCCAAACACACACACACACACACATACACATATAAACACTTACTAGCATACATGCACCCCCCTTACACTGTTACACACGCACATACACAAATATAACACTTCATTCTCAACATATACACTAGCGCTCGGACACGCACATGACATGCATACACTTGCATATTGTAGTCTTTATTATATTAACGTAATAGACAATATACATTAAATGGAGAAGACAGACAGACAAACAAGCAGATAGACAGAAAGACAGACAGACAGACAGACAGACAGACAGACAGACAGACAGACAAAGCTTATAGTCAGTGCCAGCGAACCAAAATAACGTCAACAGAAAAATTGACAGCTACAGAGAAGCTGGCATAAACTCTAGACCGTTTGATCCATTGAGCTAAAAAGACGCGATTAACTCAACAATAACAGTGTGCAGGGGACAGAATGCTTCACCGTATCACCTGCAGAACCTATGCAGGAGAAAAGGACTGTAGACAGAACACACACTTTACGGGAATTATAGGGTCACTTCGGACACACTGTTCTCATGTAACTAACGTAAGACTGGTGTCGGGTAGCTCATAAGCCCCCCCCCCCCCCCTTTTTCCACACACACAGACACACATACACAAACACACGCACACACACACACACACTCGAACCCGCACACATTTTATCGTCAACACAAGACAGACCACTGAATAACAACATGGAATTTTATGTCGGCTCCAGACTTTAAAAAAATGTA